CCAAATATAGTGCCCATCATTATTGCTTGTGTTATTGCTCAGCTGGCAAATGAGCTCGGTTCACACTTCTCGGTGATTAACACCAATACTCGCCGCCCTTCTGACTTATGATCTGGATATGTTCTACAAATAATCTATAATTGCTATCATCTCACTTTTATAAAATGTTAAGAACAAAGTTTGTGTAAATTCTGGCTTTTCAATCAAAGCCTGCTTTTCTTTTTACAATGTCAAATAATGCATACTATTCTAGAGATGAGAATAGTCAAGTTTATTGACGATTGACATCTCAAAAGACAAGGCGAGACAAGACATCTCACCTTGCGAGATGAGTCAAGTTTAACAGTATCGTACAGTATGATTTAGAAGCTGACTGGATAGGTCACTCTTGATATGGGGACTTGAACAAGGTTTACTTAATAAAAAATAAATGTGCTTCATTACATCTTCATGTGACGTGCCAGAAAGAAGGGCCACCTTTACCGCTCAATCTATTTTTTCTTCTGTTAAAATAACTAATGTATTAAACACTTCCCAACATTTGTAGGGAGAGCATAAAAAACCAGGAGAGGTGGCAAATATGACAATGACCTAAAGTCATTGGTGTGATTGCAATTTAGTGATTATCAAGTGATGATTGAGTCTTTAAAAAAATAGTTAAATAAAAATACTTTTCCTTTACAAAATTATTTATGTAGAGCAAAGTTTGGTGGGATACATTTCAAATGGTGATAAATGCCAGTCAAGAGCTGAGAAGAAATGAAAGTTGCTGCTTCATAGAGGAATTTGTTGCACAGTATATCAGAAGTCTGTAGGTACGTACATGAAAATAAAGGACACTGCAGAATGCCAATTGGCCCATATGAGGCAGCATCTTTTTATATTCACCCAAACTTGTACACATGTAATTACCTAAGTAATTACCTAAGTGTAGTTACAGGATGAGAGCTAAGCTCGTGGTGTCCCGTCTTCCCAACACTGTCATATAACGCTTTGAAACTACTGACGGTCTTGGCATCCACCACTTTCTCACCTAACTTGTTCCAACCATCTACCACTCTGTTTGTGAAAGTGAGTTTTCTTATATTTCTTCGGCATCTGTGTTTAGCTAGTTTAAATCTATGACCTCTTGTTCTTGAAGTTTCAGGTCTCGGGAAATCTTCCCTATCGATTTTATCAATTCCAGTTACTATTTTGTACGTAGTGATCATATCTCTCTTTCTTCTGTCTTCTAGTTTTGGCATATTTAATGCCTCTAACCTCTCCTCATAGCTCTTGCCCTTCAGTTCTGGGAGCCACTTCGTAGCATGTCTTTGCACCTTTTCCAGTTTGTTGATGTGCTTCTTAAGATATGGGCACCACACAACCGCTGCATATTGTAGCTTTGGCCTAACAAAAGTCGTGAACAATTTCTTTAGTATATCGCCATCCATGTATTTAAAAGCAATTCTGAAGTTAGAAAGCGTGGCATAGGCTCCTCGCACAATGTTCTTTGTGGTCCTCAGGTGATAGTTTTCTATCTAGAACCACTCCTAAAACCGGTTTCGTTATCAGAATTCTTTAAAGATTTCTCACATAATGTATAAGTTGCATGGGGTCTATAGTCTCCTATTCCACATTCCATAACATGGCATTTATTAACATTAAATTCCATTTGCCAAGTGGTGCTCCATATACTTACTTTGTCCAGGTCATCTTGAAGGGCATGACAGTCATCTAAGTTTCTTATCCTTCCTATTATCTTAGCATCATCAGCAAACATGTTCATATAATTTTGTATACCAACTGGTAGATCATTTATGTAGACAATAAACATTACTGGTGCAAGAACTGAATCCTGTGGTATCCCACTTGTGACATTTCTCCAGTCCGATACATTGCCTCTGATTACTGCCCTCATTTAGCTATCAGTCAGGAAATTTTTCATCCATGTTAGAAGCTTACCTGTCACCCCTCCCAATATTTTCCAGTTTCCAGAACAACCTCTTATGTGGAACTCTGTCAAAAGCCTTTTTTAGGTCCAAATAGATGCAGTCAACCCAACCATCTCTTTCCTGTAAAATCTCTGTGGCTTGATCATAGAAACTGAGTAAATTCGATACACAGGATCTTCCAGATCGAAAACCATACTGTCTGTCTGATATAATATAATTTCTCTCCAGGTGTTCTACCCATTTAGTTTTGATTAGTTTTTCCAATACTTTCACTATTACACTAATCAATGATACAGGTCTATAATTGAGGGGGTCTTCCCTGCTGCCACTTTTGTAGATTGGAACTATGTTAGCCTGTTTCCACACATCTGCTACGACTCCTGTACACAGGGATGCCTGAAAGATCAGGTGAAGTGGAATGCTGAGCTCAGATGCACATTCTCTCAGAACCCATGGTGAAACTCCATCTAGGCCAACTGCTTTATTCTTACTGAGCTCCTTTAGCATATTTTCCACTTCATCTCTTAGACACCTCTATACACTCTATGTCGTTCTGTGGAATTCTTATTGTGTCTGGTTCTCTGAAGATCTCATTTTGTTCAAACACACTTTGGAACTTTTTGTTTAATGTTTCACACATTTCCTTTTCATTTTCCATGTATTTGTCCCCCATTTTTAACCTCTGAATATTATCCTTTACCTGCAGCTTACTTTTAATGAATTTATAGAAAAGGCCTGGATCTGATTTACATTTGTCTGCTATACCGTTCTCAAAGTCCCTCTCTGCCTCTCGCCTTACTGACGTGTAGTTGTTTCTTGCATCTTTGTATTGCTGGTATGTTTGGGGGTTTGGCCTCTTTCTATAATGATTCCATGTTTTTGTCTTTTGATCTCGCAATTTCTGTTGAACCAACCCTGTTTCCCAGGTCTGCATGTCTGTTTTGGTATAAATGTTTGTGTGCCTTCATCATATATTGTGCACAATTTGGCATACATCTCATTTACTTCCTTGCCTAGCAACAAGTCTGTCCAATTATACCCAAGAAAAAAGCTCTAAGTTCCCCATAGTGTCCTCTCTTGAAATCGAGTTTAACAACTGTTTCACTGTTCCCATTCTCTACTAGATTGTATCGCATAGTGTATTTAATGTCCAAGAGGACGTGATCACTCTTTCCCAAGGGAGGAAGGTACTGGATGTCAAATACCTCCTCTTCTTTCCTGGTGAATACTACATCCAGTACTGACGGAACATCCCCTTCCCTCATTCTTGTAGCCTGCTTGACGTGTTGACACATGAATGTCTCCAAGATGAGGTTTACAAACCTGCCTGTCCAAATGTCCTCTGTTCTTGCCTCGTAGGCCTCCCAGTCTATTGCCTTAAAGTTAGTCCCCCCGTATCAACAATCGGGATTTATCTTTGTCAGCTCTTACCATAATATCTCTCATGACCATTATGAGACCCTCTCGTTTGTCATCCAGTTCTTCCTTTGTCCATGTGTTGCTTGCTGGTGGGCTATAGGCATTAAAAATTATCAGCTTATCTTGATTACAGAGCTGCAATGCCATTATGTCAATATCTCTAGGGTTTTCAAACATTAATTCTCTTACCTTCAGGTGTTCTTTCACCAACACAGCCACTCCTCCCCCCCCTCCCCTTCTTAGTTTTCCTGTCACGTCTCCAAACTGAGTAGCCCCTTGGGAACACGACCTAATTAAAACATTTTCTTCAAGTTTAGTCTCTGTTAATGGGACAATATCTGGGACTTGCTTGATTATATCTTTCAACTCCAATACTTTCGATCTCACTCCATCTATATTGGTATATACTATTTTAAGGAACATGTTCCCCTTCCCTTTGTTCTTTACACCCCCTTCCTTTAATTATTTTGTTGCTTTGTCTTTATGTACCATTTCACAAGCTTTCCAGTCCCTGACACTTTGTAGAAAAAAGATGTGCACAAACGCACATGCGTGTGTAAATCACGAAGAAATTCACGTGTGATGAATAATGTCAAGATGTTTAACCATGATGGAAAATGCAACAAGAAATTACTTAAGTGCCTTAGTATTCATCAACACATCAAAATTATGAACATTACAGTTCTGCGGAGGTAGATATAGAGGCAAGAAGGATACATGTGAGATGAAAACGAACAAGGTGTTTGTAATATTGGTTCATGAACATAAGAACAAGAGGAAATTACAGGCAGCCTAATGACAGTACACGAGTTCCTGGAGGTGACATTCCTAATGAGATAGATAACTATTAAGTCTTAGTAAATAGTGTTTTTAATTTATCAATAAGAATGTATCCAAATTGTACAAACCACTAGTAATGTTCATATTGTATGGCTAAGGAATTTATATTAAAGGAGATTCAATAATGTTTATTACATTATTTGTAAATACACATATTTAAGTGCTTGATAATCAGGCACTGGTTATCAATTTATCAATGTGTTTTTTTTCTTATGTTCCCAGTACAAAATTGTTCTTTTTTCGACACCTAGGTACTTAGAAGAGGTTAAATTTACCTATCACAGTATTTTGTTCACGGATCTCTCTACTTTTTATTTGATAATTGCCGTATATATAATCGAGCGAAGTATCTTATTATTTATTTATTTATTTATATACAAGAAGTTACGTTGGGGGTTAACAGATAATATAGAAAATAAATAAATATAAATAAATGTTTATTCAGGTAAGGTTCATACATACAAGTGATGTTACATTAATGGATTGATATATAGATAGAGCTAGTACATACAATGCCTAAAGCCACTATTACGCAATGCGTTTCGGGCAACATTTCATAAGTTGAATTGTTGAATTAACAACATAAGTTGAATTAACATTCTTGTAAAGCCACTAGAGCGTTATATGACAAAGCGTTCAATGTTCAGCGTTATATGTTCAAAGCGTTATATGACAGAGTGCTGGGAAGACGGGACACCACGAGCGTAGTAACCTGTAACTACACTTAGGTAATTACTAGCACGCATAGCGTTTCGGGCATTAAGCATTTGCATTTCTTGGTAATATTCAAGTATGTGCATTATTAGCGTTCTGTGCTTTACTAATAATTTCTAAAACACAAAATAGAAAGAAAGACATCTTAGGTAGACTAGTGCACGGGTTAGTGACGTCAAGGGAACGATTTTGGCAACCTTGGGACCACCACTGGGGCGAGGTACAGACACCAGCTGGTCTGCTCAAGAGGCTGGTCTCCTCTCAGTGTGGCTCTGGGAGTTGGTGGGAGTGGTTGTGCTTCGACGCTTGTAGTTTGGTTATGTATGTAACTTATTTCGAGTTTTTTCAAGTTGAATAATGTGTTGGGTTTTCTATCTTTGTGGTCATAAATGAGTTATATCGATATAAGCCGCTTACGATTGAAAGTTCAGTAATGGAAATAAATTACGGCAGTTAATGAGGTGTTTGGGTGGCATAAAATCACGCCCTTCATTAAGATATACAGTACCCGTATATGTATATATATATATACATATATAAAACATATGTGTAATAGATGTTTTGTTTACAATTGCGCATTAATCACGAAAGCGGGTTTAAAATTATGAAGGCGGAAAATGTAGGTTTGAACTCGTGCAAACATATACGGTATTATTACATATCGTAATCATTAATACCTCTCCGGGTTTGGATAAACGTAGTTTCTTTTAATAGAATACCTATAGGCGCTGGTGGCCAGCCTAGAGTATAACATGCGTCAAACTTAAACCGGGAACTCCATTTGGTATGCATTTACTGTACCCAATAGCCAACTACTCATATTGAATTCGGGTAACTAGATGAATAAGAATATTGAGAAACAACAAATGTTAAACTATAGTATATTCTATAGTAGTTATATATAACTATAGTATTCTATAGTAGCCTAAATCATTTTACCTTTCCGAACAAAAATTTAGGATACTATAGAAGGCTGCAATAGAATTCATTCGAAAAAAATCGGGGAAAAGAAACTTCGACTAAATATGCCCTGATCTTTGTAAACAAATCAACGAAAAATATACTTTTCAAACAAGACTGTAAGCCATCCCAGTAGGAGAGGTATAATCCGGTTAACAAGCTGTAAGTCGTTGGCGTGTGGACTGGGTGTGTGATGACTCTTAATACAATACAATTTCGTTTAAAAGAATGTGTGTGTACAAAGAAGAAAGCAGTAATGTACAAATTCATTTCATTTCTTTCCTTTCAGCTCTCATCTCACTTTTTTTCTTTCTTGCAATGTACCTGTTATTTTATTAATTCCGCTAGAATTTACCTACTTAAAATTATCTGTTAGATTAAGGACCTGCCCGAAACGCTGCGCTTACTAGTGGCTTTACAAGATTGTTAATTATCATTCTATGTATTCTCAAAAACCCAATGTACCTTCTTGTATATAAATAAATAAATAAATAAATAAATTGTAGGGACAGGACCTACACAATCTATGAAACTTACGCAAAGCGTTTCGGGCGGTTTTTTTTTAATGTTTTTTTTTAATTACATTGCATTTAAATTTGATGTTCATATAAACGTTGTATTATGTTGTTTGTAAATGTTTTAGAGAAAAACTAATTAAAATAAATTTCCTGATTGTAAATTGATATCTGCGTTGCTGATTTTTTCTGACTTTTTTTACTTTTTTTAAAGTTATATTTTTGTACGAGATGGTGACAATTTTCTAGTTCGATTATTTTGCTAATATTTTCCATTAGTGCATTAATTCTAGGAATCTTAATTAGGTGTATTTTCGTAAAACCTAATGCCAATCCGGAATCTTCCCCTTTAATATTAAATATTAATTTTGTCTGAATAATGACTTTTTTGTCATTCAGACAATTCACAATTATTATTCTGGTGAGGAAAGAATATTTTTCCAAGGAATATAGATTAAGATCTATATTGAACTTAATACCGTTTCCGATTCATTGCAGCAGGACGAAACGTAATGTTTTAAATATTTTTTAATTAATTCAGATTTATATACACAGTATATATAACTGCATAAGCAACATGTGTTGACAAAAGTTAAAGTGGACATTTTTTTCGGGGGTAGCATATAGAATGAGTAGAAGATAAATGTCACAATAACGTGCCTGAAAATAACCAGAGCTACACATGTGAAATTAAATGACAATTAAATCTCGCTAGTAAACTTCGTCCTCGTGATATAAAACCTGCTATTCAACAAATTCACACACACACACTGCAGCTGCAGTTTACTGTTCCTCTAGCCCTCTGATGTTGACCAGACCACACACTAGAAGGTGAAGGGACGACGACGTTTCGGTTCGTCCTGGACCATTCTCAAGTCAATTGTCGATTGACAATCGATTTGAGAATAGTCAACATACTTTAGCCACGTTATTGTGACTCATCGCCTGCATAGCCCTCTGATACTGTGATGAAGCTGGCCGTACGTTTGGTGACAGACGAATTAAGAAATACTAAGAAGTGCAAGAGAAGACTTTCTGACAGGAAAAATGTTCTCGGTCACATTACGGGCTGTAAATATCGTCCCAGAGAGCACAATATCAGTGGCATTAGTTCAATGTTGATTGCGTTAATTCAACGTTGAATTGGGTGTTGTACGTAGCACACGTCATGTTCAATCGGCTCTTATGCACAACATTTTATTTAACATACACCACAGTCCTGGCTTTGTTGCTGTTAACATACTTTTCAACAAGGTGGACAAAGCTTGCAGGTAAGCTAGCAGCGAGGCAGTGACAAGATAAGCAGATGAGTGTATATTATAGTATGTGTAGCAAGAGTTGTAGCCTAATGAGAGATAAGGTAACTGGCCTTATCTGATGGCATTCAACACCCTTCCTGGAGATGGGAAGAAATTTTCATGTTTAGCTTAAACATTTTATGCAGCTTACAAAATAAACTAATCTGTCTGTCTAGTTACACGTCTTGTGCATCACGTTATTATAAACGAGTGACCTAGCAAACCCCACCTAGAGTGTAGGGTCGGTATCAGAGGAGTAGTGTCGAGAAGGGATATGACGAGTGGGGTTCCCCAGAGGCTTGGTTCTGTGACCATTACTGTTCAAAATTTGTGAATAACGTGCCCGAGTAAGCATATATATAAGAATGTTTACAAATGTTTTTGTAATCGAGTATATCTCCCTTCAGTTGACTGTCATTAAAACCTATCTAGGCTTGTTTATTTTGCGAATAGTTGTACTTGATACTTAGCAATATTTTTTTTTCTTTGTCAGAATGTTGCGAGGAGCAGGACAAGCAGTGGCGCGGGTTGTGGTCCAAGCTGGGGGAGCTAAAGGTGGCCTTCTTAGAGCCTCTGCCCCTGCTGCCACTACTGTCGCTAGCCGCTGGCAGGGTGACTATGAACGTCACCAGATCCCCGAGCGCCTTCTGTACATTCCTGATGCAGAGGATCCATCCTTCTTTGAGATGGTGGAGTATTTCTTTCACCGTGGTTGCCAGGTAAGGTTCTTCAATGCTATTGAATTGTTAATTAAGTAGGTACCAGGTAAAAAGAGGCTGAGGTTGCCAGGGAAGGGACTGGAGCTTCCAGGCCAGGAAGCTCCAGTCCCTGGAGCTAACTGGGGGGGGCTGCCGGGCGAAGGACTCTTGAGCAGGGGAGAGGGCTGGCTGCCAGTTCCCGGACTAGCGGGGAGGAGCCATCCTGGTCAGGGCCTAAAGTAATATAGGGCAAGTATGGTTAGATTGTACACGCTCAAATATTGAATTCTTTTCACACATTACTCAACCAAAAATATAAGTTAACATATCTAATAAGTTCATATTACCCGAGTACTAGGCCTACACGTTTTGTATATCTCGATTTTGGCCCTTCCTCTTGCCGTTTTGAACATCTGGAATCTGTGGTAAGAGTTCCTCACGCTCGCCAGTACTCTTTATGTCCTCTCATATTCTTTTTTTCTTTATTGGTGGTGGTGTGTGTGTGTGTGTATAGCAGCCAGGATTGCGTCCTTGCTTTACCCGATGACAGACATTGTGACTGGATATTACAAACTGAAAATAACTAAATAATGATGTATGTGTGAGAGTTGCGATAAAATAATACCTGCTTTGATCTTTTTTGTTATCGCCTCTGAACAGGTGGTAGAGGACCAGCTGGTAGAGGAGATGAAGGACCGCATTACTCTGGAGGAGAAAAGAAACAAAACAAAAGGCATTCTGAAGATTATGGAACCATGCCACCATGTTTTGGAAGTCGCCTTCCCAGTCAAGCGCGATAATGGTACCTACGAAATGATTAGCGGTTACCGTGCTCAACATTCTCTTCATCGTACTCCCACCAAGGGGGGTAAGTACCATTTAATAATGTATAATGAGATATGCCTTTGCTCAGCACCACTGCAAATAATGAATATTGCAAGGCGAGGTGCTCAGCTACCAGAGTCCTGTGGCATTTGGCATGATTTGATCGTGTGTATTGGTGATCTACTGAAAGACCAGGTGGCTATTTATTAGACTATTTTAAATTTCGCGAGTTACAGTAAATAAGTTCATTATTCAATATCAAAGTTTTTATATGGCAGGGATGTTTTAGTGATAGTGGATGGCTTGACGAGTTTTATACAAGAAAAAATATTCCTTATTATACATTACACATATAGAGTGACTACAAACAATAGATTGCAACATTTTCTGCATTAATTATGATATAAAACAGGAAATCAGTTGGGTTCAAATCTTATAAGCCTCTGAGAAAGGAGCAACTATTGATATTTCAACTGAAATGACATTAAAAGCTTAGTTTCATAAAGTGTTTATAGAGATATTAAACTTCGATGCAAGAAAAATAAATCGCATCCAATTCAATTTTTTATTGTGCACCCCATACCCATCCCGTGGGCGGTGATGTAAAGGATTACAGAGGCACATAATCGGTTCAGGAACTGAACCCTCTAGTTCGTTTAGCTAAGCAAATAACAATCTTTTGGCGCTAGTTACAAAATTATTAATGTTATATCGCATCCAAGTAGATTAATATTTCGGTTTTGGTGAAATATTAAATAAAATGCTTCTTATTTGTTAAATAATTTCTTATAGTTTCC